AATACCTCAACGGGGAAAATAAATTAATAATGAGAGTTAAAGAGTTAAACAATTTGATCAATAATTATTTATGTTTTATTAATGTATTTCTATACATAAAAACCTTAATCAAATATTTAAGGAATTAATTACTGATACAAGCAACATTTGCCTATTTTACTTCAGATGTATTTTAAAGGATAGTAAAAAAAAAAAAAAAAAATCTTAGCACCTAAATGTTAACAATACAATATATATTATATGTAGATGAAGTGCTTTTAGAAAATTTTATTTGTATTGTTTTGCTAAAATGTTTAACTTGAGACTAATCAATGGCAAATATTTTTTTTGTTTGTATTTTATTTTAATTTTCCTAGATGTCATTGGGAGGTTCTTCTGTTGCTGTTGTGCAACTGCCTGGGGGTCAATATCAGGTTCAGGGAGTGATCCAGTCTGCACAGTCATCAGTCATTCAGTCCCCTCAAGCACAGAGTGTAACGGTGAGCAGAGCAGCTTTTTTTTTTTGGCTTTCATGTTTTGTTTTTTCTTTTTCTAAACTATCACATAATTTAAATATAAATCCTTCACATGGTTGCGAAATACAGTCAGATACAAAACAATAATACTAACAGAAATCTACTATTGGATATTAATTGAATGAATAAATGTGTTTCTGTTTGGCTATAAATCTAAAACTAAAGAGGCTATAGTCAAACAAGTGCCTATAAAAAGACAGAATTTCTCCCACAGTGGTTCGATAATGATGATTGTATTCTTATTGAACCTCTACTGCTAAGGCCCAGGGTACTGATAGCGAAGATTCTCAAGACTCCTCAGACAGTGGAGCAACAACCCACAAGACGAGGGAAATACTCGCCAGGCGGCCGTCATACAGGTAAAAAGTTCATCAAATGACATCTCAGAAAGAAAAGCTTTTGTGTAACTTGTGAAATAACTTGGCTGCTTTTTTCCTGCAGAAAAATCCTTAACGACCTTTCATCTCAGGAAACGACACACATTGAAGGAAAGGATAGCAGTCCAGCATCCACAGGAGTGACAGGTGTTACAGTTCCAAGCACTCCAATCTACCAGACCAGCTCAGGACAGTACAGTAAGAACGCTTCTTCAGCTTACACTGAATATGAAAATACTAACACCAGTGTGGGATGCTGGATTTTTATATTTTTATAAAGTATTTCAATAATTTCTTTGACTATACTGGTTGAGTGTTCTCAAACAGAGTAAAATTTGGTAATAAATTTAATCTCTAATCACTTTCAGAATACCCTTTCCGATCATATTTTTACTTTGCAAGCAAGAATGATTGTATTTCCTTTTATAACAAGTTTTTTTTTTTTTTTATCATTCCTTATAAGTTACCATAGCTGCAAATGGGACAATCCAGCTGGCATCTCCAGGTTCTGAAGGCCTCCAAGGGCTGCAGGCTGTTACCATGGCCAACTCTGGTGGAGCACAACAAGGAGCTACCATCCTTCAGTATGCGCAGACACCCGATGGTCAGCAGATACTCGTGCCTAGCAACCAAGTAGTAGTACAAGGTGAGCATTTAGTACATCCGCTTACATTTCATGTGCCAGCCTTGTTTGGTAGTATTCTTTTGTAATCAAAATGAGACAAAAAATGTAGCACATTTGAAATGGCCATGGTTATGTGAACTGAAGGAATGGTGACAAAAATAGAATAAAATGTTTTTAATGGTGTTTTTTGGCAGCCCTTTCTATTTTGGTTATAGATGGTTTCTCCTTCGTAGTGAAATCTATATCTTTATCAGACATCAAGGGCCTTTTTCTTTCCATCCAAAATAAAGTTTTTTCTTGGGCTCTGAGAGAATGGGAAGTCATAATACAAGAAGTAACTTCTAGTCAAGAACCAAAAATTGTGTGACAGGATTCACATTCAGTTTTTTTTTTGTTTTGTCATTTGTTGCATTTAGGAGCTGGAGGAGAGATGCAAACCTACCAGATTCGCACAACGACCTCATCTGCCTCCCTTCCCCAGACCGTTGTGATGACCTCTCCAGTTGGACTGTCTCAAACTAAAACTGATGATCCCACACTAAAGAGGGAAATCCGGCTTGCAAAAAACAGGTAAATACAGAGTTAAGGGTTAGCCCTCTGCCCCTGTATCTTTAATGTGCTGCTGTGACCTGTGAGAGAGTCCTGCACTGGTCTGATTTTTCAAAACTGCACCTGAACTGAGACCTGACCCGTTACCTGCAATTATCCCCATTTAAAAATCCACACCAACCCGTAATGTAATGTTCTTATTGTTGCCCCTATTAGTTTGGATAGCCTGTTTCTGTATGCCTCTGCTGACTTCCACTCGTCTGTCGGTGTCCATCACGTGGGCGGGAGACAGGCAGTGCAGCCAGACCAGGAATGGGGGATTCTGGGAGTTTGAGGCCGCAAGCTTAGCTTAAGGAATGTGTTCTATGGACCTGAGAGAGGAAGGCATTGCAGCCTCTGAAAATATCAGCTTGTGTTTTCAGAATAAAAACTCAGTTCTACAGGACTTTGTTTGGCCCTTGTTAGAATATTATTATCTGGATATTCTTGAATCAATTTGTTTTTTAAGATATAGAGTTAATTAATAAGAAAATCTAAATTAGTTTCATTCATGCTGTAACTCTATGGTTCCTGCATTTTGTTCATTTATATCCATGCCTGCACCCGTGAAGTAATACATTATTTTTTTTCTACCTTTAGATGTATGTTTTATACTGGTACCCAACCTGGTGCAGTACTCTGACCTGTGGACTTTGTCTACTTATTGTTCTTGCAAGATACATCTCGAAAAAGTGCCTTTGGTTTTTGTTTAGTAGATCAATAATAGTTTAAACACTTGTCATCATAAACAGTCAAAGTGAATAATAATTTAACTTTATTGATCTCACACTGGATAAATTCCCTCTGCATTTAACCCATCCCCTTGGGGAGCAGTGGGCTGCCACTGTGCGCCAGCAGGGGGCAGTGTGGGTTAAGTGTCTTGCTCAGGAACCCAGAGTGCAGGCTGTGGGGATCAAACCGGGTACTTGCAACCTTCTCAGAGCACAAGCACACTGCTCTAACCACTTGGCCATCACTCCCCCAAAGCATTTGCTTTTATCCCTATCCAAGTGTGGAAACATTTGTATTACCAGACTTTTACATATTCCCTATATGTGAAATTCAGTCAATATATTAGCACAAAGTTACAACAACAAAGTAAAACTGTGTGAAATCAGGAATAATTTCTCTCAGTTTGGTGTCATAGTATTATGGAGCCTGATGGCTTCCAAAACGCATGGAAGCTCAAGTAAAAGGCTGGATGATACGGCCAAAATGTCTGTCACAATAGTTCTTAATTTCGGTCGATACGGTAGGATTGCCTAGAATGTCCAACAGATGCTTATACAAACTTAGGACAATTATAAAACTCTTCCAATATAACATTCTGTAAATATTTGTTTTCAAAAATGAAAATTGTGCGGCTCCCAGGGAGCACCAGGGAGTTACGGGTCTTGCTCAGGGACCCAGAGTGGCAGTCTGTGGGGGTGGGGCTCAAACTCATGACCTTAGGATTCCAAGCTCTATGCTTTATCATTTAAATAATCATCAACTAATTTATTAATCGATTAATCGTTAACTACGGTGTAGAGACTCTAAAACACGCCTTTAGTTGACAGACTGACCCACTTAGAGCAGTAATTATATCTAAATTGTGAATTGTATGCACTGATATAATAAATATAGAGCATCTGGAAAGTATCCTCTTTACCTGATTAATGATGTTTACTGTTTTCAAATTTTTTTCTTTCAAATTTTCAAACAACATCTAATAACGACTTGTGATTGTTTTAGTTTTTATTTTTGCAAATAATTTAAGTATAAAAAACTGAGTCAACTTGTTCAAATGTTAACCTATTGTACATTATATAACCCATACTCATTTAGTTTTCTTTGTAAATAAAATGTTAGCTGAGCTCTTTTGCACCATCTTGATGCTATTAGAACTTTAACACATTTTTCATTATTTAACATTTTGACATCCTGAATGTTTTTTCCTGATTTCAGAGAAGCGGCCCGTGAATGTCGACGGAAGAAAAAGGAATATGTGAAATGTCTGGAAAACCGTGTTGCTGTTCTGGAGAACCAAAACAAGACATTGATTGAAGAACTGAAAACATTAAAGGATCTTTACTGCGTGAAAACAGGATAACCTGTTAGTACATGTCGAGACTGTGAGGTGAAAGCAGCGCAGCTCTCATGCATTTGGACAAGTCTGGGTTTCTGGGAACACTTCATTTCAGGCTGAATTCCTCCAGTCTTTTTTTTTTTTTTTTCTACTTTGATTAAAAGTGACTTTTGGCAGTGAGATTTACTGGACAATTTGGCCATTTTCCAACTGCTTTTTTTTTTTTTTTTTATGCTAACTCTGTAACATTTATAGTTGTGTACATTTTTAATACTTGGAGGTTTGAAATTGTGAGCTTTAAAGTTTGAGTCTTCAAATGTATAATTTTTCCTATTTCCTTGTGTTTTAAAACGTATTGCTACTGGAGCTAATTTACCAGCATCTGCAAAATTTTGACTGTATTATTACAATATGTGATTTCTTTTAATTGTGAACCAGCAATGCCCCTCTTTTCCCTTTTTAAAAAGATGTTACACCTATCATTCCTTATATTTGTGCAATGGACTATAAAGGGTATCAGAAATATCAAGTTTGGTTTGGTTGTTACTTGGCAGTTACTTTGACAATCAGGGAAAAAAAGCACAAAGTCCAGTTAATATTTATTTGTACATCTTTGGGGGGGATGGGGAGTGAAAAACAAAGAGCATATGAAATGTTGCTGATTCGGTGAGTAAATAAATATATTTTCACTCAGTAGAAAGTGTGTTTGTCTGACGTTTATCAAGTAAGAAAAGCTTTAGAAATAGATATGTGCCATAAGTCTTACTGATAAAAAAAAAAAAAAAAAACTTTACTAGAAAAGTTAGAAAGCAGCAAACTAAATATTAAGAAATTAATATATTAAGTATAGAACCAAGAAAAGGGTTCATATAAGTTTCATTTAATTGAATATCCCATAATATGTGGCCTAATCATTAAAGAAACTTCTTGAGCCTCTATATGTCTTAGGTGAAGTTCAGCAAAGCCAGCCGCCTCCAGGTTTCTCCATGTTGCCCTGGTAACTGTGCAGCCATCCCCCAGGAGGTACCACAGAGGCTCAAACACATACTGACAGAAGTATGTCCACGTGGAGGGATCAGAGACCACATGCTCCAGAAAATACAAAGCTCCTCCCTGAAAGAGAAAACCAACAGCAGGTTCTGTTCCACAGGTGTAAGTTCATTCCAGAACAGACTAGGCAGCCCTCAAGCTCTGACTGGTTATGTACTTCATCATTAAAGGGACCTAAAGTGAATGTGAAACCTATTTAATCCAACACTATTCATAGATTTACATTTCTGCCAAACCTACCTTTCTTTCACACATGGGTATTTTAAGGCATTCAAAACTTGAAATTCACCTTATTAAGCCATATTGTGTAGAAATTTGAATTGACAGAATGAATAACTTGCACATTAGAGTCCTGTAGAGTTATATCCTCTTATTCTTTAGCAGAGTGTCACTTCATACAAATGTAGATAAAAGTACATTAATGTGCAAAATGATCTAAAATAATTGGATGCAACCTCAGTTAAAAGTTAGGAAATGTCATGATGACTTGCAAATTACACACCGTACACCCACAGCTGAGTACACCAACTGTAATGGTGCGTTCTATTTAACTTGGCAATGTGGGAACCTTTCAAAGGTATCCTTGACCTTTGTCACATTACCATAATACAGCCACAATCCTAAATATGTTTTATCCGTATTTTATGTAAATACTGTAGCACCTAAATGGAGGGAAGATTCCCCATGTTCCCCTTCGGCTGCAGCTACAGTTTTAGCAGAAGGCTTTTGCAACACAGGGCAAGTTCTCTTCCAGGATTAACTTGTGTTTAGCTCCATCCATCTTCATTCAAAGTATGACCAGTTTTACTGTCCCTATTTTTCTAGAAGTGTTCTATCCTATCTGCACACATGGCATTTTGAATGAAGCCCAAAAAGTCAATTTAGTATCATTTTACAGAGCAGCTTCTTCCGCATGTTTCCTATGCCTCATATATGGCTTACAGCAAATTAACAAACAGGACATATTTCTGTTTTCTTCAAATAAAAACTCTTAATGCCATTCCAACTACGTAGGTTTGATTTCAACTTTGGTAGGGACTCTATTGGTCTTATTTCATTGGTCGTATGCAAAAATATGCATGCTCGTTTTTTTAAGCTTGACGTGAAAATCAGGGTGTATTTCATTTAAAGAGAAAAGCAGCATTTCTTGCTATATTTATTAAAATTTTAGGACTTTTTCCACTTTGAAAAGGGTTGCATTTGAACTTACCAGTAACTAAGGCAGAAGGTCTTACCTGCCTATTTAACCAAATATAGTCTAAATATGTCTTTTATTCTGTATTTTCTTTTGAAGATATATAATTGTGCAGAGGTAAAAAACCACTCTTAATCTTTTAAATGCTTTCTCTGTATCATGAAAGAAACCAAAATAAAAAGAAACCAAATAAATGTATTGTATTTAAATTTGTACGGGAACTAGAAGAGGAAGTGACACTTGGCATTTAACATATTAACTTCACTATAGAAGTTGTACATCTGGGCTGTAGTTGCTTTGTTTAACCCATTTGATTTATTTTATCTAGGGCTGAAACAATTCATCGGATTAATCGTGATTAAGCGATTATTGAATTAATGTCAACTAATTTAGTAATCGATTAATCGTTAACTCGAGTAAAGAGACTCTAAAACATGCTTTTAGCCGACAAAGTGACCCACTTAGATTAGATTGCATTTTAGATTAAAAATGTTTTTGCATCTTATTCTCCATCCAGAACTACTGCTGCAACAATGCCGCATTGTAAATTATAAACATGTTATTCACATCAAATTGTTGGTAGGGACAAGTAGGTCGGTCCCAAGTTTTGGTTAGGGACATGTCCCTATGGTCCCTATGCAAACCTACACCCATGTGCCATTCCTCCATAAAGGTCAAATGTACAAGGTACATAACTGAAAGTACAGATACATTGGCTTCTTCTCTGCCTTTCTGATTAATCCTACTAACTGTTAAATGTCTTGGCAGGTTTGAAATTCTATCATACTCTTTCCATTTTCAGATGAGATTTAAAAAAAAGGATATTTTCATAAGTTAGACCTGCTTTAAACATCACTTTATTTGTGAGCTGACTGTTTTCTTTTCTTGGGTTTCTTTTGTTTACTGTTGCTCTGGAACAACCACCTGTGCACCATCTCTGCTTCTGTCTCCTTGAACCCCAGTCAGCCTCGGCAGATGGCCGCTCACTGAGCCTGGTTCTGCTGGAGGTTTCTTCCTGTTGAAAGGGAGTTTTTCCTCTCCACTGTCACTACAAGCATGCTTAGTGTGAGGGATTGCATTTGAGTCGATGAGTCAATGCAATCAATTGGTTTTCCTCAGAAAACTTTTAATCAATTTGACTGTATGATCTGGTTGAACTGTAAAGTGCCTTGAGATGACATGTGTTGTGAATTGGCGCTATATAAATAAAGTGAACTAAATTGAATACCCACTTCATGGGACAGTTGGATGTAGGCAGAGATTTAAAAATATAGTTGGATTATTCATCAGCTGACTTCTTGATGCAATTGGTTTGCTAAAGATGATTCCATACCCTGTGCGTGTCAGGTTGTTGTATGTCCTACTAAAGGTGAAGGCAGCACAATCCAACTCACACGTCTGAGAACGCGTCGGGCCTCCTGCAGGACTCTTCCCACATCGTTCACAGAGCACAGCACCAGCGTGCAGACCACAACGTCCACCGATTCGTCCCGAACGTCCCTCAGGTCCTCACCTGGAAGAACTAAAACCTCCTCATAAGTCAGGTGCTGATTTGCGTCCATGCTCAAACGCAGGTACGGCTCCATGTGCGGGTTGGGTTCAGTGCAGATCACCGCGCAGCCGTACGGGTAATACCTAAAGTTTGCTCCGCTGCCACAGCCGATCTCCAGCAACCGAAGCGAACCGTCTGCGTTCGCGAACCTCGCGAGGTTTCGAAAGAGTTCCCTCTTGAAATCGTGCATTTTGTCATTGTAAGTAATTGTTATCGTGTTTGCGAGGAAGGGGAATACGCGTTTGTATAAACTGCGCAGTCCAATGAACTGCAGCAAATAAAAAGGGGCGACCAATGCTAAACAAACTAGTCTACAAGATCTCATCAAACAAGTCCGCATCTTCCTGAGAAAAACCCTTGAAGTAGCCTCAGCTGAAAAGCCCTCAGAAGATAAAAAGATTACACCGCTAATACTGGCCATTCGTTTGTCTGACCACTAGGTGGCGACAAATGACCACACTGCCATTAAACTCCTTATTTTGTCCTTTTTCAAATAGGAGTTCCAAGGGCTGCGTCTCAATTCGCAGGCTGCGTACTTCCGAGGACGCAGCCTACCTAGCCTCCGGAGGACCCAGCCTTGGTAGGCTGCTCCGGAGGATCCTCAGCCGTTGGTAAATGGGACGGTCTAGCCTTTGGAGCACTTCCTGGTTGCGACACGACGTCATCACGTTTACCCCAAACACAGCGCGAAACAAAATCCGACAGCTCGAGAAATACGGAAAGAACCAACAAAAAAATAGATATGGAAATTTTTATTTTTTTTATTTACTTGTTATTGGAGGAGGAGAGTCGCTTTGACGGCTTCGGCGGCAGCAAAACCTGCGACGGATTTTTCTCAGGCTGGCAGAGCGCAGTGGAGAGGTAAGATCTTCCTGCTATTATTCTAACCCACAGTGGCCTGATAATGATCAGCATATACCAGCTATCAAATAAACGCTTGTCAGCAGATTGATGAATAT